TTAATATTTATCGTGATGTGACTTTCTAATCTAGTGTCGAGTTACAATTCAAGCAAATTGGATCAGATTTCAACTTATAGACCTGTCAATGAGAAAGCACGCGTGGACGGCGTGGCAATATAATAAAGCAGTACAAGAAAATATATATATCTAGACCGAACAATGTGGTTATTCATTTATTTAATTGTTATGAAAGTATATCTAGATACTCGAACCAAAAGAATTTATTTATTGATGAGATGTGGCATGCAATTGCAACGAAATAGCGAGATCTTTTGATTTCCGAAATATCGCCAAGACGCCAACTGTATCCAGATTGTTGACTATAAAAGCTTATAAAACTTCTTGCATTGGCCCTTGGCATTGCTGAAACTTAACAATCATGGTATATGTTAAAGTCTAGCTGTCTGTTGAAAATCTACAGTATTAAAATCATACATCAAAGATAAGTCAAACGACAATATACTATATTATGTCTTTCAATGGGCACTTTATATTAGTAATAGTGTTTACAACATTTATAAATTTTATAAACAGCTTTCGTTTTGACACAACTCACACAAGTTTAAATTTTTTGCTTTATATATATTCTTAATAATACAAGTGAGATTTAAATATTTTTCTTTGTGGAATAGAATCCCGTTATTTTTTAATGGACAGCTTGTATCGTCTTTATCATATCCAGGATTGCTTGTAAATGCATAATAATATCACTATGACACTATCAAATAAATATACAAATATATTTGAGAGCCTTGTTTTTTAGAGCATATTAATGACTAATGAACTACAAATAAACAGATGATTCACAATGAAAACTTTAAAAATGTTAGTAGAAGTAGAAAACTCGAAAATTTATGTTTATTCGTATGACAGTCTGTGCGCGTCTGACACTGTAAATTCACAATATATAGATTTAGTATATTAGGAAAATATTATGATTAATAAAGACCAAGAAAAAGGCTAAAGCCTGACTATAATCACCGAATACTATGTACTAAATCCAAAATTTTATAATCACTGACAGACTTTCTCTGTTTGGCTAGTATCAAATGTAATACATTTGCTAATATTGGGCTCTAGTCCCAGACAATACAATACAATACTGTTTCTTTCAATCTTATAAACAAGACGCGTAGACGTATAGTAACAAGTAATTAAATCGGTGCAAAGCATATAAACATTTACAAGAAAGGACAAATCTAATGGCGTATTTTAAAAACATTACATATGTAGAAATGATGACTGAAAAGCTCATAATAAACGTTTGTTATAAAACCGCGCTCAAGTGTGAAGAGACGGCATTGAATAACAACACGAGAGAGCACTGTGAGTAACGATTTGCTTGGTTTCTTGACTTGACTGGTGGTAAAAATGTAAGAATGTTCTTGTAAATTCAAAGCAAAGAAAATAAACAAAAATTAGCAAGTATTTTGAACTTAATAATGTTTTTAACTGTTAAACAAAATATCTCCACTGGAATCATGTAATTTGATACTTTTCCCACACCCCCTCAGGCGCTAAATTTTGGACGAGGCACGTGACCAGCCCATACCAGGGTATTTCCTAAATACCCTGGGAACGAGGTTGCATAAGAGCAAGCAAAATATACAATGTGTTTTTAACAATATTTAATGTGGGTATATTTATATACAAGGTTTAACAGTATTCCGTGATTTTATTTTGTTGTTTTTGCGGAGGAAATTGGGGAAACCCCCCAGTGAGAATCTATTTTTATAGTCTGCGCGTGCGCAGTGCGAGTTTGGCTGAGTTGCGCATGCGTATTTGCTACCAAAATAATGGCGGTTCGAGTATTTCGAAGCGCGAAAATATCAAACTTTGGAGGGATTTTTCTTCCAATTGTGCACCTGTTTCGCTTGGGGAGCAACGGATTCTGATAAAGTAAGTTTCTATCTATTTATTCATGTGAAAATTACGTAGTTACACGAGGGGTGCAACGGAATTGCATCTTTTGGATGCTCATCCTACGGCCTAATTGTATTTTCGTAGAATTAAGTAATCATCAAATAGGGATAGCTGAGATGAAATGTGCAACGACGATGGATAATATTAAATGAAGTTGAGACAAAGGATTTGTGTACGGTGAGGTACAGTTCAATATCAAACAAAGGTTTTCTATTTTGTGGCTTTGAAGTTTGCCGGGCTTCCAGACCATCATATCTTGACAGACTATGTTTTAATCTATCAAGAAATGTGTGCAATTACGGAGAGATAGATAGATATAGGGAGGATATCAACTAGGATTTTGCCTGTTTCCTCTTAGTGCCTTTATAAATTTGTATTGTTTTACAGGTAAACTACGTGAAGCGTTCCTCTTTTGACTTCGTAACTCATTTGGAATTTTCCTCATTAGCTTTGCAAATTTGAAAAACTCTTTGCAAATCCCTTGAGGGAATTTGCAATGTTCCTATCGACTGTTGCAATATTCCAATACAAACAAACTTCGATTTAAATTTTCCTAATTTAAATTTTCCTGTTCTGTTCTGAGCGTTGTTATTGGTCGATTATTTTTGTTAGCCAATTGCAATGCCCAGAACAGAACAGGAAGTTACGAATTTGTAACAGGAAGTTAAGAACTTCTAACAGGAACTGAGGAAAATTTAATTGGCTTTTAGCAACATTGCAAATTTCCTCAAGGGATTTGCAAGGGAGTTTTTTAAATTGCAAAAGTAATGAGGAAAATTACAATCAATTTAGAAACTCAAAAGAGGAACGCTTCACGTAGTTTACCTGTAACAACTTTGTAAATGCATGTGTGACGAATTTCACTGTAGTAACTAAACTAAACAATATTCTTACATTTAACTATTCAAATTAGGTGAACACAATATTCGCGAATGCGACGTTCTGAGTGCAGCTTTATACCCGAGCGTTTTCCGAGATTACATGAGATTCAAAGACGAGTTTGGACCAATGGAGCCACTACCAACACGACTGTATCTGACCGGCCCTGAGATTGGCGAGCAGTTTCAGGTTGAGATTGAGAAAGGCAAGATCTTGAATATAACGATACTCGCTATTGGAGAGCTACTACCTGATGGACAACGAGAGGTGTTTTGTGAAATGAATGGGCAGTTGAGAGCAGTGTTTATTACTGACAAAACTGGTGTAGAGGTATGGTTATTACGTAAAAACGCGCAAGTTGTTACAGATCTGAAAACAACTTGTAACAAGGCTGTTGTCAAGCCGATATCAGGATGCGTTCGCACTGCTTGTTCCCAGTTGTTGAGACAAGACTGCAACAAATTGTTATCAACTTGTTACAATTAAGGTTGATCACGGTAACAGACTTGCTACAAGTTGTTCCAACAAGACTAATACAGGCTGTTCATAACAAGTTGCTGCGAACTTGTTGTCCTGAACTTGTTAACAACGTTACGTGCAATCGATATCAGACTTGTTGCAACAACTTGTTGCGAGTCTGTTGGCCTTATCAACCTTTTTACAAGATGATAACAACTTGTTCCAGACTTGTTAGCAACTGCGAACAAGCATATCGCGTGCATATCTAGAGTAATATCTTCAGTCATTCTAACTATAAACATCCTCTGTTTAGCAAGTCGCAACGAGACCAAAAGCCAACCGTGACGATAAAGGCTCCGTGGGGGCACCTATGCCTGGAGAAGTGGTGGCAGTTAGGGTGAAAGAGGGACAACAGGTAGAAAAGGGGGATCCTCTCGTCGTGCTCAGTGCGATGAAAATGGAGACAAACGTGACGTCACCTGTGAAAGGAGTGGTCGCTAACATTACTGTTAGCAATGGGGAGACGATACAGGCCGGAGATTTATTGGTCGAAGTTACTGAAAATTAAATTAATTTCTGCGGGGAAGAAAAACCGCTGGAATTATAGCCTATTATAGAAAGTAAAATGCACAGTGTGCGTTCTTTAACGAAATACATGTATATAATGATTCATCAATATAATGTATTCATGAATATAAAGTACATGTTGCGACATGAATATAATCAATGTATTCATAACTATAGTGTATTCATGAATATTATGGAACATATTGTATACATGAATATAATGTATTCATGAATATAATGTTTTCATGAATATAATAAATGTATTCATAAATATAATGTTTTCATGACTATAATATTTTCATATGACAAAAATGTTTTTCGACAAGATAGCGAAATTCACGTAAAAAGTTTGGATACCTTGTGGAAATTTAACAGTTTTACACAATTATGTAGTACATACCTTCAAATTAAGCACAGATTTTCCATGCCCGTTTCTTTGAGCCAGTTTTTCACAAAATTGAGGCCGTTCCCTCGAAATCTGAGAAAACTGTATTTGCCGCCAATGCGAAGTATTTTCTGTGCGGTGTGCATGCAGCTATGATGCAGCTTGTGCAGGAAGCACGCGAAAACGGGCAAAATTTTAAGACTTTCGGTTCAAATTCCCCACCCCGTTATCAAATGCCCCACCACATGGAAGACCTAGAACGTCAAATTCCCTACTCCCTGGAGAAGACTTGAAGCCAAATTCCCGGGGTATGCCCGGGGGGGGGGGGATGATGAAGTTTCGAATTGATCGGTACATAAAGATTAACTTGTAGTGGTTTAAACAGGGAACTTAAAATAAAATTAACCCTATTCCAAATACGTTTTTAAGCTATTCAAATGATGAAAGTTGTTGTTTTTAAGCGTTTATTAGCAAGTGGGAACGACCAACATGGCCGCCATCTATTCAAATGGGGGTAACCGCTGGAATATTCTTGGCTTGCGTTCAGTGCTTCCATTTTCAAAATAAAAATTTCCCATTTTTGACATCAAAATTTCTCTAAATTCCTTAGATTGTATACATAATTTCCTTGAAATTTCATGAAGGACTCAGAGTAGTGATGGGCGATACCAGGATTGTTAATTCGATACCGATACTGATACTTTTAAGTTCGGTATCGGCCGATACCTATAGTATTTCGATACCAAAATGAACACAAAATTTCAGTTTTCGATACCGGAAGTGAGTACTTAAATTGCTAGTATCGGCCATTTTCGATACCTGCCGGTCAGCGGAAAAACATTTTTCATTACTGTATGTAAGGGACCGTTCATTATTTATACCCGGGGTTGGTACTAGTCTGCGCACAGACTGTCCCTTCCCGCGGGGGAGCGGGATGGAAATTGCTAGATAGTATACTTCAAAATAAGGTTTCCGTTTTTATAACGTAGAAAAAACCATCCTAACGCAAAACTAAACCCTAATATTAACCCTACCCCAACCCCAACCCTAACCCTAACCTAACCCTAACTTATTTTTAAAAAATGATATAAAAACGGAAATCTTATTTTGAAGCATACTATCTAGCAATTTCCTTATAATCTATACATGCGACCCTGCGCGCAAAAGCCTTACTGTAAAGTGGAAGCACTTTGCCAACACTTGCATGCGCTTTATCCATAGAAGGCAATGTCGTCAGCATGACCAAATATGGTCATTTAATTGTTCTCGTTGACCAATGAGATTGCATGAAAATGCTCCAATGCACACGTGGTTCGGAAAAGGAAGAAAGGCGAAGCTTGGCGACGTCATTTGGCCTTTCTCTCCGAACATTTGGCCTTTCGTTTGGGTGCGTCCTTGTTTGAAAGTAAAGAATTATCAACGCCTTCTGCTCGATCGTACAAGTTAAAATGGTATGTTTTAACGTTAAAACAAAGTACAGTCATTGTTTTATCTTGTAGTGTGTTCAGTTTTAGCATCGTGTGATCTGATTCCATGTAATTTTGAAAAATAAGCTTAGTTTATATCGCTCACTTGTTTATATATATAAGTTAGTATGTACTGTTCGATGTTGTTAGATGCTTAACGAAGGTGATGATATTCACTAGTTTTTAACTCGTTTAAGCTTTCCTTTACTTTATATTTGAAGTGCAGCGTCTTGTAGAGATGTACAGTCTTATTTTAAGAAAATGAATCACACGATTCCTTCCCTAAACTCGGAAGTGAAATTGACTAAATTATAAAAACATATAAATGCTAAATTTAATAACTAACCGTAATACTTGTATTATAATTTGCCAAGTTTTTAGAGGCTAGATAGCTCTTCTACTTGCATAGTTTTGTATAATTAATGACATTAATGTGGTTATTTGATGGCTTGTACTGTACTAATATTTCATTAGCTTGGCTTGTTCTAGTTGTTTAATATATTAAAAGGAAGTTGACAGAAATTTAACTATGTATTGGAATGTATCACACTTGTTGGTGTAATAATGTAAATTAAATTTATAGACAATTTTTTGCAAACGATTTTGGAAAATTGACTATTGAGTCTGCCTGCCCTAATTTCACTTTTTGGTTGATGGGATATTTGTATGGGAAAGTTTATTTAAAGCCCTGGGCACCCTAGAGCTATATGCTTTGTCCCAGCAATGATGGGCAGTAGCAACAAAACAACAATTTGGGCATTCTGGAAAACATTTACACCTCCTCTCATGAAGTACATGGGAAGTTCAACCCTTTGAATGTCCAATACGTTACTGTTACCAGCTGACCCCCTACCTTCAGACCAGACTTGGTTGTGCTCTAATTGAAAGATTTGTGTTTTTCATATACCGGTCTTGTGTAAATGGGGCCTAGCTAGAGCTGTGTGCCGTAGCCGGAGTGCTGGAGCCGGAAAAATTATGAAAAATAATTTCAAATAAAAATTATTTCATATTTCAATGAACATTTGGCATTAAATGGGAAAATTAAGTTGTTGTTTACTAATATATTACTATTTATATGTTGTTTTACTCTATATTACTATGTGGTTTACTATTAGTAGTGTTGTAAAAAGGTTTTTAAAAAAGGTAAATTCTGAAATTACACTGAAATACTTTTGCCTGCTTCCACTTTTAAATATGGGACTTTTAAATATGACTGCCGGTGCCGGAGCTAAAATAACCGGAGTTTGCACAGCTCTAGCTAGCAGGGATAAAAACATGTCCTCTTTGAAAAAGACATTGCCTGGTCTGAGATGGGATCAAAGTAATTGTTTAACAAGTCCTTGATTGTGAACTTCTAAATGAGAAAAAATGCTAGAGAATTTCAGTGAAGGACCTAACTTTTCAAAGCGTGATTCCCAAGTTTGTTGTGAATGTTCCTAATGGACCTATTCCCTAATGAACAAAATTTTGATCTAGACCAGTCTAGACAAACATTTCATCACAGCTGCTTGAAAGAGCATCACAAAATTAGTAATATTCCAAAGTTTTGTTGCAAAATGTTGTAAAATGTGGATAATATAGCCCTGCAAAGTTTATTTTGTATTACGCACAGGAAATTGATACCTATCAATATCCCGCTCGTAATACAAAATGACTGATAAACAGCAAACTTCGCAGGGCTATATTCGCATTTTACAACACTTCGCAATGAAACTTCGGAATACTACTAATTTTGTGATGCTCTTTCAAGCTGTGATGAAATGTCTGTCTAGACTTGTCTAGATCAAAATTTTGTTAATTAGGGAATAGGTCCATCAGACATAAATAAAATGTGCAAGCGCCGCTCGCAGGTACCTTTGAATTTTTGCAGGCACATTTTAAAATTCGCTCGCAGGCACGAAAAAATGTTAATGAGGCCTGAGGTCCATTACGTTTCTAAATTTGGTGAATATTGGGTGTGGAAATTGCAAAGCTACAATATTTAAGTCACAAAATCTAAATAAGATGTGTTTTTGCAGGCACATTTTGAATTTCGCTCGCAGGCACCTATTCCTATTACCTATCCCAAAATTAAAATAAATCTGGAATTTATCATGTAAAATTAAACAAAACCATTAGAAAGTAATGTGTTATTTTCCGCTGGCTGAGGCACGAAAGAAGCGGAAAATGTTTTCTCACACACTGCTGGGGGCCTGCTATTGAGCATATTTTTGTTGTTGCTCAACGTAGCTTGAGTGAGAAGAAGTACTTCGCCACAAAATGAGAATAACGAAGTAAAACGTTACTTCTTAAAACGACTTTGTTCCAAGTAAAAGTACTCCAGAAAAAGTTTACTTTGTTACATGCATGCTGACTTCTCAAAAATAGTACTCAAGTACAGTAACAAAGTACATTTATTTCGTTACTTGACACCACTGCACTTTACTATCTTGTAACATAGCTAACATATGTGCCGACATTGCAGAAAGAATGTAACAGAGGGTTTGAGATGAGAAATTTTTTTTTCCGATTCCCCCCTCCCCCCTCCCCACCGTCGCCAAAAAAATTTCGGTCAGTGTACCATTTTAGGGGTCAAAAATTTTTTCCGGACATACCAATTTTTTCCGAAACCTAACAAGATTTTTCGAAACATCACGAAATTAACCACAAAATTTACAGAATTTACCCCATGATTACAGTTGGTTTCTAGGTCCTTTACTTCAGCTCAATTTTTAATACCAAATTTTGGAGTGGGGGGGCACTGCCCCACCGAGTGGGGGGGCAATGCCTCCCCAGGCCCCCCTCAGCTACGGACCTGCATATTATACAAATAATGAATGTTTATGAGTGCAATGGTAAAAATATTTTACGACAGCTGAGTTGAATGGAACATTCCATCTTTTACCGAATGAAAATACTCTTACCATCGGCAGGTACAAAATGGAGGTGGCAGGTTGGAATTTTGCAGGTTGGGAATTTTGCAGGTTGGAATTTTGCAGGTTGGGGATTTTGCAGGTTGCCAAGAATTTTGCAGGTTGATGATGCAAACTTAAAATTACACCACTCTAAAGACTAGAAAATATTCGGGGGGTTGACACCCCCCAAAGTACAAATCATCTGGATTGGCAGGGCAATGAAAGATTTTAAATGATAGAATGTAGAGTTATTAAGTAGCTTCCAGGGCTTCCAGAGGGAATTGAATAGAATTTATAGACCGACCTAAATTTTACAGATAGTGGTAAAAAATAAGGGTTTCATGCATGTTTTAACAGGAATTTGTCCCAAGCACTGACAAGGCGTCAGACTGCAGTAAATACAAAACTAGATTATACTGGAATACTAAAAAAGTGGTGTAATTTTAAGTTTGCATCATCAACCTGCACAGTTCCTGGCAACCTGCAAAATTCCAACCTGCAAAATTCCCAACCTGCAAAATTCCAATCTGCAAAATTCCCAACCTGCAAAATTCCCAACCTGCAAAATTCTAACCTGCAACCTGCATTTTGTACCTGCCGCCCTTACCATTGCATGGATAAACATTCATTATTTGTTTTATATAATACCAAAATAGACTAATAGATTTGTATGAGAAGCATTTTGACGGATCCATGCGATTTACCGAAAACACAAAGAGTGCAAAGGAATAAAACATATAGTACAATTGCACTCGCAAAGAGTGCAATGGAACATATTCCATTGCACTCTTGGGAAATGGAATTTTCTATTCAATATCATGTGACCATAAACAGCCAATTAACAATTGATCAGAATTTTATAAAGTATTATATAAACTAGTTTGTTGCATGCATTTGCAGCATTTCGTTTTATATTTTTAGTATTTACAAACAAATGAATTGAATAAATTCAAAAGTATTAAAGCAGAACTGTCATGATGTCTTCTTTGAATTTTGTGAACATGACATAGAATATCAGTATCAGCAAAATATTGGTCCTTCAATATCGGAATATCGGTGCATTTCCATATCGGTGCATCACTACAGATTTTTTATTTTCGTTGTAGGCTTCATCAGGAATAGAAGTTGACCCAAATTTTAAAGAAGCCTATAATAAAATGAAAACAAAAAAAACCCACCAGTTGTTGGTTGCGGCACTGTCTGATGATAAGAAAAACGTAATATTGAAAGAGGACTTGTGTAAGGAGCTCTGTAGTCCTGAAGAACTCCGGATTTCATTTAAAGAACTCCCGAAAGAATGTTTGTATGCCGTTTATGATTTCAAAGAGAAAAATAAACTTATCCTTATAAAGTGGTATGTATAAAAAGGCTTCAAAATAACTGTGTTGACCCAAATAGCAAAATCACATATCAAACGGGTAAACACAAATATTAAGTACTCCTCTCCCTCTGAGGAAATTGAAAGTTAACCCCTCTCGCCCCTTCAAATAATGCAAAGTCAAATAATCCAAGCATGCATGGAGCGAAGGAACTAATTCTGCTGAATGCATGACTTGTATCCTGAGTGGATATTACAAAATTTCAAACATTGGGATGATGCTAGGGCCAAAAAAACGTAGTTATAAATGTCTCTGGAGGTCTCCCAATAGTTTCAAATACTACAAGTTGAAAATAATCAACTTGGTGGTATTGTTGTTGACTGTTGAGTCTCCTGTTGTAATTTATAACAATGGGAGACATGTACTGTATACTTACTTTAATGGGCTCAGGGATGCCATAATTTATGGTTATCAGATGGCATACTAGAACTTTGAAACCTGCATGTATCCTAGTGGGATATTAAAAACGTTTTAAATTTCAGACACTGCCCTACTAATGTGGCTGTGGACTATCCATAAAACAGTGAAATTTAGAACAGAAACAGTTTTTCTTTACATTTTATATTTGATATGGAAATTCAACTAATTTTTATGTGCAATTTATTTATGCTCAAATCTGAATAGTTTGGTTGTACTATATTGGACATATTGTAGTTCTATTCCCATAAAATTTATTGTGTTCTATATTTCAACATTTCTAGGGCTCCAGATACTGCACCAGCATCAAAGAAAATGATTTATGCAAGTACTTTTGCAACAATGAAAACATGCTGTGAGGGTGCTAAAACTATAGAAGCGACTGAATTGGATGACCTTAGTGTGGAATCTTTGGAAAACGCCAAAAGCTAGCTTTTTTCACAATGAAACTACACATGGAATTAGTGATTTCTTAATTACACCTTGTGTGGTTCTCGTTAAGCATTACAGGTGTATTCTTGAAATTTAAGCCTTGAATCTTGTACAATATGGAACTTATATTTTTTTTGAAAACTAAAAACATACATTTTCTCAGTTAATTAAAATCAATAATTTTTGTCTAAATTATGGTGTGAAATGTTTACAATCTTCTTCAACATTGTTTGTTGCTAATCACATTTTGTTTGAGAGATCAAATTAATTAAGAAGCTTTGCAGGTTAGGACATCATGGGCAACTTCAGAATTGTTGGTACTTTGCATTACCAAAACTGTCGATGCATCCTCTTGTCCATCATGTTTTGGTGACAAAACATTGAGGAATGTCAGACTCGTTCCCAGTCGTTATTTGAATTTCAATTTTATATATAGGGACGAATAGGTATATATCCATATATATATACAGATCAGTACCAACGTGAGCCTCTACGCGCCCACTTCTGGCCGCGCGCCCGCTCTTAAAGCGACTGGGGACGAGTCTGGAGGAATGTGACTACATTCCTAATGTTGTGAAGTCAATATCTTGGGAATTGGCGACTTCTGATAATACAATTTAATTCTTCCCGTCCCCCAGCCACTTCTCTGCCTAGCCCGCAACCAACCCACTAGCTACTAATCATTGCAACCTACTAATCATTGCAACCTACTAATTATAAAAACAAACAAACTACAAAGCCTCTCCGGAGGAGAGTGATACCTGCCTTTATTTTTCACCCTGCTCGGTTTCTTTTGTTCTTATCGGGGAATATATTCAATATTCCCCTCTAATCAATTTCCGTTTAATAATCCCCTCTAATATTCCCCTGCAATTAATAATCCCCTCTAATATTCACCTGCAATGTCTTTGCAGCACAAAAAAATGAGAAAAAAACAACATAACGAAGGCAATACGGCATTAAGAATTATTTCTATTCTGACTCATTAACGCGACCTCGCAGTGTGAAAATAAGTACGTTATTTCGAGGCACCTCGGGGATATGTGTTTATTCACCTCGCGCCTCGGTGAATAAATCACATATCCCCTCGTTGCCTCAAAATAACCTATACTTATTCGGGCTTTTGTCTACCTCTCGAGTGCACAAGATCCTTCTACAGGGTGTCTCAAAAAGGGGGGAGACCTTTACAAATTATCCTATTGTAATTTGAATGCCTGAGCACAATGCTGAACTCAAATCAAATAATAAAAATATTGATTGTTAGCACAATATTTTCTGCTGGGAATTTAAAATAGGAAAATATAACACAAAAATGGTCATATTACAAATTGGTCATAATTACAAACTGGTCATAATTACAAATTGGTCTGCGTGGGGGACCGCACTTCACCGCTTGTGTTGCTAGACTCATGGTTGAAAATCACTTCAATATATTATTTTTCATTAAAATGCCTCGTAGAGACTCAAAAAGGATTGTGCACTGATTTAAAAAGGATCGTGCACTGATTTATACTATCTTGTATATCCCTGGGCATTCTCACAGGCACTTCCGGGCGTCCTCGGGCGCTCCAAGCAGTATTTAGTAGGACCCATCAGTTCAAGTAAAAATGGTTTATCTGACCACAAAGCAACGAGTTTTTACATGCTGTGTTGAATTAATCAGCCTTTCAATAATTTGCCATGCATAAAATTCAAGTCAATAATTGTGTTTAAGCACCCATAGGTTCAGTATGTTGCTCAGGCATCTGAAGTCTTACTACACAGGCCTGTATAAATATGTTTTGTTTGGTATTTCTATCAAATTAACACAGTTTATACTTGTGTTTGTTGTGTTCATTAATTTTTCATGAGTTCGTAAAAGGTACAAGTGAGTGTTCCAGTAAGGGAGTGGTCATTGGGTGGGAAATGGGTAAAATAAGGATTGAAAACTTTTTTGACCCCCCCCCAGACTGAAGGCAAACTTTGTGCCTCCCCCCTCATAAAAGTAGAGACTTTTCTGACCCCCCCCCCCAGTGTGGATTGAAAAATTAACTGCAATGAAACAGGTGTGCGTTGCAGGTAAAGTTAGATATTAGGACAATCTGTTTAATCTAGCTCGTGATGTTTTACCCTGGTGAATATGATTCAACCATATATGATTACAAAATATATGTGTGTTAGTCTACTTTGCAATGCAACATTTGTCCTACCATAACCCTAACCCATGACCCGTCTTCATACAGCGAAATGATTTGAACACGGGGGTTTTTTAAGAACTTGTCTGGGGGGTGGGTATCTACAAAAAGGGACCATACTATATTGAGTGTGGAAAGATGACAGACGGTTGTTGGTGACAAAAAGTTTGGTGTGGTATCGTATGTGCTAGTAGGGGGTCTGGGGGTATTCTCCCCCAGAAAATTTTTTGTATTTTTCCACCCCTAGAACTGAAATGTGAGCATTACCGAATCAGATCAGTTAAGTGTACTTGCATGGTATGTTTATGTAAATACCACAACTGGGTCACTCAGGGGGTAGAAAGCTTGTTAAACTTAGTGGGCGCGACTCCCACGATTGCGAGGCGCTACCTGATGGTTGGCGCCGAGCAGGGAAATTTCGAAAATTTTGAGTCTCTAGATCGTTGGAAATAGCATTTTCAGAGTCTTCTTTTTTGCTATTTGTGATTATAGAAATCAGAACTCTAGACATGGTATTTGAGTTCAAAAACTTTTATGACCCCCCTCTCTCTGTGTTAAAACTTTTTTGACCCCCCCTATTTATAAGGGTAAAACTTCGTTTGCCCCCCCTCCCATTTCCCAACCCCCTCCCCATAAATAATGACCACTCCCTAAAAAAGGAAAAGCTGGTAAAATAATGACAGCCATGTTGATGCCTTTGAAGAAAACCAGAGTTCTATATAGCTACGGATACACGGGCAATACTTTTTCTGGCGATGGCAATGCAATGGTGGTAAAATCGTTGCATTGCCGTCGCGAGAAAGAAATTGCTTGTGTATCATGTTCTGCGACGGCAATGCAAAGCTGCGCGCAATCGTTGCCGAAATTTCAAATCATTTGATTTTCAGCAATGATTGCCAAAAATTGGGAGGTGTGGTCAAGGAAGGTCAAGGTTGATGAATGACACGTTTCTTGAAAAGCGTTATGAAGACATATATTGCAGGTGAAATATTGCAGGTGTAGCCACCTTGAACGACGGCAACGCAATGCTGTTATCACCCATTGCGTAACCATCGCAGCAAAAATATTGCTCGTGTATCCGAAGCTTATTGGACATTGCATTGGAAATAGTTGAAATGAAAAGGGTGTGACTCAATTCCCAAAAATAACCTCTAAAAATAATGTTAACTTTGAGCAGGTATGGATTTACTCATTTACTGGGGAGGGGCACACCCCAGCCCTGGCTATAAGAGGGGGTGCTATTTTTCACAATAAAGCAAAAATATATTGCATGATGATAAGCGAACTGTGAACAACAATTAATATAGTTTAATGTTACAGTAGTTGAACAAGTAATGTTGATGGGTGGGTGGCACACCATCTGGTGCTGGATCCATCTGCCCCTACCTTGCTGGAGAAAATATTTTCTCCAGTGAGGTAGGAGGGGGACATTGGGATTTACGATATGATGGTATTAGCTTATTTTTCTTATGCACATATCAACGGCCTGCCCGGGGGGTACACCCCCCGGGACAACCGGGGGGAATTTGGTATTTTATCTGTGTATTCTGCCCGTGAACCCCGGGTAAATTACAAATTTCACAATAATAGGACGACAGGGGGAGGGGAAGTAGGGGACTTTGACGTGACAATTTGAATTTTATAAATGAAGTGCACAATTGGTGCGAACTCAAAATCGCAGGCTCACGAAGAAAAATATCGATCGCCAACTTATTATTTATGATATTTTGTAGTGGTCTTGCTAAAATTTGAATAAATAAATACAGAATAAATGAGTGCCATTGTGATACCCCAGTTTGTATGATAATTTTTAATTGTTTGTATGCTATTTATATTATGAATTACTTTATTCTAAGCCCCAGGGGGAGGGCAGCTTGACTTACACATTTCCCTGGGGAGGGAGGGGGAATTAATGCATTAGAGTCATGTTTTTTCAAAGTCCCGGGGGTGCACCCCCAGGGCAGGCTGTTGATATGTGCATTTCGGTATTTTCCTTGAAAAATTGCGGTATTACGATATTGGAAATCTTGCGGTACACGGTATTTGCAATTTGGACTCAAAAACTGCGGTGATTGACAAAATTTGCTTGCGGTATTACGGTATTGAATACCCCCCAATGTCCCCCTCAGGTAGGAATGTAGAGGAAAGACCCTGGAAACAATCATGTTGGACTTTGAGACCCTCGGTTCCAAAATTTAGAAGAGTCCCAGTTCAATTTTTAGCACCCATTTAAAATGGGGTCCTATACTGCTCAAGAGGATACTAGTATGGAAAATCTAACACATACAGATTGTATATTATATATTGCACTTTAATGTTGCAAGTCCTTCAATGTTCTTAAAGCATTGCCACAGCTGGAAATAAGTTCACACAGTTTGATGTCCATTTCTACTGAGTTTGCAACACCAAGTTGATTAACAGCCCACATGAGCCGTTCTTGAAGTTTGAAGATCGCTTCGTTGACTGTTGTCAAACCAGAGTCTTCAGGACCTGTCAAGGGTGTTGTTTTGTGTACATTCATCAAGGTTTCATTTGTACAGCTTGGCCCACCATTTTCTCTGTGATTTTCAAACTCTGGATTTTTGTTGTGTAAACTTTCATGTTCAGTGACTTGTGGTTGTTGTTGAGAGACTGCAGTAAAAAATATTTTGTGTAGTTTATAATCAGGACAGAATACACCACCCACTGAAGACCAGAAATGCACCCTAATGTACTAGTTACACTTTTTACTCTGTCCGACGCCTGACAATTTTACTTGTCAAGGGGAGAGTGTTGGCATCAATGAGTTAACTAACCACACTATCTGCCTATGTGTCACGTCAACCCATTAGGTTGCATTGTTCCCTACACATTTCCCATCAATTAGTAAATAGTACTGTTCACTTGTTCTATAGACATACTGAAGAGAAGAAGGGGGGGGGGGAGGGGGGGGGTGCAGCTATTACCCCTAATCGACCTACCATTGTGTGCTATATGTATGTCAACTTCACTGCAACCAATACAGTAGTCTTGCTGTTGTCTGTCTTTTAACAGTATAGTCTGAAAAAGGATTAACAGTTTGGTTATACAAGGCAACGTTAAGTCACACCGACTGCATGGTGACAAATGTACTTGTCCCCCAAGAAAGGTCACACAGTAACAGAGAGCTATAGTCCCTGAAACAAATGAATGATGCTCTCTGATTAGTCAATTTCAATGGGAATAACATTCTCTGATTGGTCATCATTGCCCAAGGTTAGAGCTAATGTCTCAAAGTCCAAATACAACCTAGCTATTCTATTCTAGTCAAACTACACTGGGGACCGGTTTATATGGAGACGAGTTACCTGGCAATGTGAGTTACTCACCCAGGCGGGACAAACAAGCGCTCTGTTTATATGGAACCAAGTTACTTGGCATTTGCTGTGTGACTGCTGCATGATGCCGAAATGGCGCCAAAACACAAAAAGGATCTAAGCCGTTTGAAATGTTAAAAAACATTACAAAATGTCGTTCAAAATATACACGAATAAGTGCAGAGAAATTCAGGAAAACTTATCTATCAATTCGTATGTATTTTTGAGCTATTATATTTCAAATGCAAAGCATATACATTCTATCTTGGGCGGCCCATCTCGCCTCTTTCTGACAGGAACTCGCCAAGGCGAGTTACTCGGCTGCCAGTGCCGTAGCCAGAACGATAATTGGGGAGGGGCACATATTCATATATTCGTGTTCTGCTTTATTAATTTCTTTTGAAATCAATTGTTTTTATGGTATGTGAACACGAATATATGAATATGTGCCCCATTCTGGCTACGGCACTGTCGGCTGCATCATGTAAACAGTCACCCGGGATTACTATTAGTTTCTATAACAGCTGGGATCTCACCGTTGCGGAGTAACTCGCCTTGCCGGGTAACTTGCCTCCATATAAACAGGTCCTGCTGAAGCCTGAGGGGGGGGGGACTTTTTATTTCTTTTACAAATAATTGTCTAAAATTTCTTAAAGTACTCACCCCACAAACATTACATGTAGAGCCAAGCATCTTGTATCCTTTGAGAAGGTACTCTCCCATTAGTTTACTAATTTTATTCTCTCTTTCACGTTTTTTCTCTAATTGAGACATGCTGTCAACCTCCATGATGATTAAGCCCGATTTTAGGGTATAATCATTCTGTAATTTCGCGGGTGTGAAAACTTTTTACAAAAACGAAATTTTAAATGTGGACTAAAACAAGCTGAATAATTTGAAATGGAATATTGTTTTAGCCCAGGTTTTGTGTTTCATAAGTATTCATTCTTCGTGTTTTATTTTTATCATACTTACATTTTATGCAGGCAATTTGTGCAGGCTACTAGGGCAGTGACCACTATATATAAATGGAGTGAGATACGAGGTGAGATCAATTCAAAGGTTGGCCAATGGCCAGTATAATAAAACATTACTAAAAACTTGTTGAACTCACTGCAGGTATTATTACTGTGGTTTTGTTACTCGTCTATCAGTTCTATCACTGCTAACTGCTATGATTTTTGCATAGAAAGATTCGATAAAACTGGTTTGTTTCGAGGTCAATGTGCACAAAGCCAATCCAGTTATTTTACAGGTCAAATTTCAGCTATTGCGTGGGTAGGGGCCAGGGGCTTGGGGAGCACAACGTCAAATTAAACATGGCGCTTTGAATTCACTTTTTTACAGTAAAAAAATACAAAATTGTTGAACATTTAAAGGAAAACAAACTGTTGTGCAGCCGAAAATGGAGAAACAGCTTGCAGAATACCGTGCCAGGAAAGCAAAGGAAGCTTCAGAGCAAAAATGGTCAATTTCCAAGGCATTATTTTCAAGTAAGAGCGATACTATAAATAAACATGAAAAAAATCAACTTAACAAAAACATGAACTTTAACGAGTCCCAAGAGTACGTAGCATTGTACCCACGGTTAAGAACTTTCTTAAGGATAGTCTTATGGTGTTGTTGTTTCGGATTCTTCGTTCAGATCGGGTTTGGTTCAGTATTTTTTGTTCTGTCCCTGTTCTATTTTATGTACTTAAGTATGAAAAGTGGCACGCGCCGTTCGTGGGAACCTAGTGCTTATTCGGTGTTTAATGAAAATTGCGAAGCGATTGACGGAACATTGTCTGGAGAACAGTTTGATAAGGAATTGAAATTTGGGGCAGGCTCGGTCGGAAGGTGACACAATATGGGACATTTCAAGAATGAATTTCATGGCCTGCAATTAATTTTTTATTAAAAATTAATAGTTATGTATCGATCAATTCGAAACTTCACCATCCCCCCCCCCCGGGCCGACCCCGGGAATTTGAACTTTTGAATTTTGACTGATCAAATTCTCCACCCCCTGTGCAAAAAATGTCTTCAAATGCCCCACTGTAACAAGAAATTAAGCATTCAAATGCCCCACCTTCATATGAAAATTATGAAACAGTAAATACAAAAAGTACAAAATATACGGAAATGTTTTTCGACAAGATAGCGAAATTCACGTAAAAACTTTGGATACCTCGTGGAAATTTAACAGTTTTACACAATTATGTAGTACATACCTTCAAATGAAGCGTGCACATAGATTTTCCATGCCCGTTTCTTTGAGCCAGTTATTCAGAAAATGAAGGCCATTTCCCTCGAAATCTGAGACAACTGTATTTGCCGCCAATGCGAAGTATTTTCTGTGCATGCAGGAAGCACGCGAAACAGGCAAAATTTTAAGACTTCCGGTTCAAATTCCCCACCCCGTTATCAAATGCCCTACCACATGGAAGACCTAGAACGTCAAATTCCCTACTCCCTGGAGAAGACTTGAAGTCAAATGCCCGGGGGGGGGATGGTGAAGTTTCGAATTGATCGATACATTAATAGAGACTTCCCGAATTTACTGACTGGCAAATGAAAACTACATATAAGCTGATTTACACAACACAACTTTTGACTAAAACTGTTGCATGCAACCTGCTTACAACTTGAGTTGTACTGTGTAAATCAAACACACAACTTGCCCTGACAGTGACTGGAAAGTTTGGAATTTTCACGGCAGATATTTCGAAAATTTAATAGTAAATTTATAGAAAGCATCAAAATTGCTCACTCGATATGGCAACTCGCCTTCATTGTCGTAAGTGAGTTGTGTGTTGATTTACAAAGTACAACTTGAGTTGTCTGTTGTAAGCAGGTTACATGTGACAGTTTTAGGCAAAAGTTGTGTAGTGTAAATTGGCCTTATGTAAAACAGATTATATTGTCCACCTTGATTTCAGACTATTGTTTCGTGTGCCCTCAAGTAAATTCAGGAAGTGTCCATTATTATACATTCAATACAATGAGTCGTTCCAGAAAAGATCCATACTCCCCCCACGGAGGAAATTTCTGCCGTCCGGAGGGAGAGGGGAGAAGAAATTGTTTCTGATAATAGTAAATGTATTAGGACATCCAAAGGGGGTAGGGGGGGTTAACTTCCCATTTCCTCCGTGGGGGTGGTATGGATGTTTTCTGGAATGACCCATTATGCATGCAATATAAGAAGATAAATAACCAGAACGAGGCCGGTATAGCCGGATGTCCAACATATTTATCTGACATATTTTACAATTGAGGAGGTTTTCCAATGATGTCATGCCAACGTCACTCTGCCAAGAGGAGAAGAATTGCGGATAAAACTGCTACTGTGACCAAGTAGTTCAAGTGTGAGAAGTAAAACACATGTGTATTCCTCTAAAAGCCTTAAATATATTGTGGTTTTATCATATATTACAGGTAAACTACATCAAGCATTCCTCTTTTGAGTTCCTACTGTAAAATTATTTTGGTGTAATATTCAATGGTGGAATTTGCAATGTCCCTAAATTGGTGGAATTTGCAATGTCCCTAAAAGCCAATTAGATTTTCCTCAGTTCCTGTTAGAAGTTCTTAACTTCCTGTTACAAGTTCCTAACTTTCAGTTCTGTGCATTCTGTGTGTTGTAATTGGCTAAGAAAAATAATCCACCAATGACAACACACAGAACAGAACAGGAAGTCAGGAAATTTCAAGTGGAAGTTTCTGTTCTTTGGAATATTGCAACAGCCAATATAGGAATATTGCAAATTCCTTTGGAAATCCGGAGGAAAGTTTTTCAAATTTGCAAAGATAATGAGGAAATTTGCAATTAAATTAGGAACTCAAAACGGGAACGCTTGACATAGTTTACCTGTAACAGACACAAATAAAGCCATGTCCACTGCAGTATATTTATTTAATCCATCATAAATAATTTTCTGCAAATGACACTCAACATTAAAACATTTTTGCACTGCAAAGCTAGGCAGACCTCATGACTGGTGGGTTTCGGTAAGCATATACAGGGCAGCAGATTGTTTTCTCTACCTCACATTATCAAAACCATGGATGCCAGTGACGACGTTTTTGTAATATACATGCTTACAAGAATTCACCAATTAAAATTATGTTGCACTATTATTACTTGATGAATTTCTAGCGCTTTCTACAAAAGATACCAGTTTTTTGTATGATGAAACCTTGTCAACTGCTATGCCAAGAGATGATATCTAAAAACAAAGAAAAATACATATAAATACAATAATTTTATCCTTCTTAAAGAAGTATGGGCACCCCCCCCCCCTCCGACTTCCATTCAAGAATTGTCAAAGATGTAGATGAGCTCACCATGTTAGTTATTGTTCAATACCTGTTTTCCAAATTCTTCTGTATCCAAGGCAAACTGCAAGCGAATTTTATCATCATCTGTCATTTTTCCTCCCTCAGCAGCCGTGGGATTCGCTGATGGATTGTCACTCTTTTTAATTCGTTTTAATCTCAATAAACTGTCCTCTGTTCTTTTTATCGATGTCAACACATCTGAGGTTACATTGTAAAACCTGCACGAAGAGAGAAGGAAAAATTTGTAGTACTCTGTAGAGGGCCCTGAAGGGGGTAAAATGGGAACTGGGATTGATCTATTTTTAGACTGGGAAAATGGGATTTGGGTTGCTGGGACTGGGATTTGGCCACTGGGAATGGGAAATGAAGTCCTCAAAAATGGGAATGGGATTGAGGTAATGCGAGTCAATTCCCAATTTTTCTACGTTTTAAGTATTTTAACTCAGCGGCAAGCTGTTACAATGTTTCTACCCGCCTAAGGCGCAAGCAATATGGCGAATATGTGATTGAATTCAAGAGCTTTCACCAAAATGGCAATATCTCAGAAACAGTTGCATAAAAAAATCTGATCTTTTCAACCAAACATTAGTGATATATGATTGACCAAATTTAGTTTAAATGACTTCGCATACCTACATATATCATTAGTTTTTTCAATGAGAATTTTTATTTGTAAAGCAGTGACACTTTGTTTTTCATGTCACTCATCACCTAAAGGGGCAATATCTCCATAAATTTATATAAAAACAAAAAAAAAAATCATTTACTAAATTAGTACATATCTATATTATAACCAATTTTTATCTTTTGGGATATGAATTAGAAAACGATCAAAAATTATAAAAAATACTCATTTGCTTTTTTTGGGCAAGATATTTACAACACGAAATTTAGAACAGTAACTAAGTGTTCAAATTCAACAAAATGTGCAAGCCAAAACACAGTGCTTGTTCATCTTTGGAGTTTTTAATTACCTCAAATATATTTAAAAGGACATATGGTACTAGAATTTATTTATTTTCAATATAAACCAAGGATGGGAAGGTGAGAAAATAGGAATTTTCTGAGGTGTTTTTAACACAGACAATGACAGCCGACATTTTCAAAGGCAAATTGCGGCGACAAAACCAAAAGTTATTCACTTCTCTACTCAAAGCACTGAAAAACACCATAAAGAGAAAAACATTTTAAACATACATCAGGTAAGCCTTTTAGATCAATTTTCTCATGTTTCTGTTTGGAAAGAAACGGTTTTTAGCCAAAATTATTTTGCGCGCCAATGTAGGCTGCTATAAAATGTCAGACACGCGTTCTCTTTTGAAGTCTGGCTCCAGTGGCGTGCTGGCAGGGGGGGCGGGGGGCCACGGCCCCCCCAGCTGGCAATTCTTGGGGGGCGCAAAAATGAAAATGGGGCGCCGAATTTTGAAAGTGGGTGGGAAAAACACATTCTCGAAAAAATATGGTTACTTCCGCCAAGAAAAGACGTGTTTATAGGCTACAGTATAAAACAGACTAAGCGCATAGGCGACATATATTAAATTACAGACTATTTTGCCTAACCGTATTTGCTACCTCACAGCTCACACGAAATCGTTCATATAAAAACATGATCAGTGATCACAGGCAATGTCTCATTACCGGAATATTGGTCAGGTTTCGATCGAAGCGATCACAGGAATTATGCCCTTTTTTGCTGGTATTATGCCCTTATAATATGCCCTTTATTATGCTTCACGAATCACGAGGGCGGCGCAAATTAGATAGTTGAAGTTATGATAACTGATGTAAAGTTGTGTACGCAATTTAGTTGTTTGCACAAGAAGCATGAGTAATGTAAGTAATGAAATAATGCTGAAACATGCCCTTTGGCCAGCCAGGCAAAGAAACCTTAAAATGCATATGCGTGGGGTGCGTGTGTTATTGTATAAAAGAGCTTTAAATTGTAAATGTGCTCAGAACAGTAGATCAGTAGAGAACAGAATTGGGATTAAAGTAATCGCTGGAAGTAGTTAGCATTTCATAATGTAAGTACTACTACTAAATTCTAACCAAATTGCAAATTTCGACACGTTATAATGCCGTTTCCTGACCATCAGATTTCTGTCAAATCTTCCCCCCAAAGTCCAGGAAATGGCACTTCAGAGATTCTAAATTCAAAAATTTTTCGGGGGGGGGGGCATGCCGCCGGACCCCCCTAGACAAACCTCGCACCTGCGGCACTCGGCTCGTGCCTTCGGCCCTCGTTTATCAAGTGTAATATTATAGGGGCGCATATTGGTTGACAACCCACTGGCCCCTCCAGAAAAATAGTACCCAGCACGCCACTGCGGATTGGCTGTTGACAAGAATGACAGGAAGTCCAGAGTATTATTTTCTATGACTGAGATGAGTTCGGCCATCACCATGGCGGCGTTTACTACCTATATTGCAGGTTAGTCCGATAATAATATGTAATAAATATGTGCAATCACTTTCCATAAGTAGCAAGAGGTAATCGATGTGGAAAGTAAATCATTTAGTAACAAAATAATTTTATCATAGGTACACTAATGTTTGAAATCATGTAGTGAGCGAAAGTATCGTCTGAGTTTAAAGAATGAAGGAAAAAGAGAAGGAAGAAAGTAGGAAGTATTGAAGATAGGTGTAAGAGAAAGGAAGGAAAGCAGGAATGGGGAAAAAAGGTGGGAGCGAGCGAGAAGTAAGATGGCAAAGAAGGAGGGAATAAGCGGTAATGAAGAGATGCAAGGAAGGAAAGGACGAATAATTGGGTCGGTGCACGTGGAAATGAAGAACTTTGGTGAAAAGGAAGAATGGAAGTCAGGAAGAAATGAAGCATGGGATTGAGAAGGGAATGCGAGGAGGGGTTGGGAAGCCTGAAACAAGGAAGGAAAGGAAAACAGCTGGGAATGTAGAGAAATTAAAGAATGCAAGATATCAAGCAGGGAAGTCAAGAATGTACGAAGAAAAAAAGCAAACATGAAAGATCAGGAAGAACATAAAGAACAGAGATTATGGCAAAATAAATAGCTCGTTATTAAACATTCATCTTATTTGTACAACGTTTTATTTTGCAGGTGCTATCGCTTCACAGTCCAATGTGTTATCTTACATTCAATTTGGACAATTCGTTATGATTGTAATGTCTGTAAGTTGGGCGTATGCAACCTTCGTTTTTCAAGCAATGTGCTGTATCTTGGGACCAGAAAAGAACTCTGGTCAAATGATGGTTCCCAAGCATAAGACACGGTACAAGAGGCTCAAAGCATGCTTGTGTTGTGCGAATGATGACTTAGATCACTATAAGATGGTCAGGAAAAACGATAGTACAGAGGTAAAAAAACAGTTCGAGTGTTATACATGTACATCAAGGAAGACAAATGAAATTGGACGAACTTAAGTAACAAGACCAAGTCTTCGCGCTTATTCTTATTGTTTAAGGTATACCCTGACGAGAAGTGCATATAAAAAGCAATACCAGCCAACCATTTCGAAAAGTATACAACAAATATAATCCAAAGATTCCGAAGATTAGCATCTTGAAACTCAAGTATAAACAAGCCGAGAAGGAGTTTATTTAGGGGCGGACCATTAGAAATCCCGGGAGCGGGGGTGGGAGGGGGGGGGGGGGGAAAATTCCCCCAAAAACTCGTGCAAAGAAAAATGCCTGGAAAAAAATTCGTGCAGCCATTACGTCCGAGAAAAAAAAATTCGTGCAAGCAAACAGCAAAGTACAAATCTTGAAAAAAAATTCGTGCAGAGGTTAAATGCATTAAAAAAATCCTGCAGAGACATGAGACTGAAAAATTAATCGGCAGCCATTTATGAAAAGGCTGTATGCTATATACCACCATTCGATTCAGTGTAACAATATCTCCTCGTTCCTAGCGATAGTTTTAGTCAATGGCAACATTATAGCGATTTATGAACTTTGAAAGTCAAGCGAGCTCGTATATGATCAAATTACGTAATTATTACTAACAAATTATAAAAATAAACATACCTTTCGTATGCTCATTGTGATATTCTTGATGAATTGAGCAGTTAAAATATCATGTACAGTGTTATTTTCAAGCTTCTATCTTTAAAGTGCCAATATCAGAGTCAGGGAAATGATTTTTCCTGATAGTTTAGATGATTTTAAGAACATTTGCAATATATTTGACAAGACGAAAATTTGATCTTCATGGACTTTTTGGGCCTCAAAGTTGCGGATTTTGGCAAATTTTTGTGTTTGACCATGAGATACAATTACTGGTAACTAGTTGTGTTGTGAGGCGAAAGTGACGTAGGAATGAGAAGACATGCTTTCAGAACAACAGGACATTTATAGTAAAACAGCAACATTGAACACATTATCCTTTTTAAAAACACGAGAAAAGAATATTTTATCGTTTTTTTTGTTTATTTCGGTGAACGTCCATGGTTCAGAGATGCCACATAGGTGTGTAGCATATGGATGCTCCAACATTGCTAGCCAAAATGAAGGAATATCGCTGCACAATATTCCGTATGGGAATGACGATCGGCCAGAGGCAAAAAAAGCGAAGGAAAAGATAGATTGACTTTGTGAAACGAAAGAGACTGAACTTCGAACCAACAGCTTCATCGAAGATATGCTCAAGACATTTTATGGCCGAGGATTTTGTGAGACCATTCGCTGTTGGTTTGACGACTGAGAAACCAAAATTGAAACAACTACTAAAGACAGACAACTTTGGTATCTGCGTGTATCCGACGATTTTAGTCTTGGGTGGCGATGAAATGAAACCTTTATCCGCAAGAGATCGCCGCTTTTCTGTAAGTAATGCATTTAGTAATTATGTTTTTACTATTGCCAGTCGTCAGTCCTTAATTTCGTCCAATGTGAATATGTTATATAAGAATGCATAATAAATCTTGCTATATATATTCATTAAAATTATATGTATTCATTACCTAACAGGTAATAAATGCTAAGCGGTCAAGTACATTGCTAAAAGAGGAAGGTGAACCCTCCACCTCGACTGAACAAGGTGAAACCTCAACAATGGCTGAAGTTTATACTGACAAAGGTGGACCGTCTACTTCAACATTGGCTGATCAAGATGAACCCTCAACATGGCCTGGGCCTGGCGGTACAGAGGATACATTTGTCCAAGCAATTGACCAGGTTGGTAGTTGTAAACTATTGTATTTACTTAATATAATTTTATTTTAGACTAGCACACGTGAAAATACAAAAGATGGTTGGTGCCAAACTGTTGAAGTTGCTTGTAAAAATTGCACAAAGCTGAAATAAGAGCTACTGCGATTGAAGCAGACAATACAGTTTTACCAATCTAAATTAAATTTTTGTAAGTCAGCAATCATTATTCACATTAATTTCACTATAATATTAAAAAATTATGAGCATGGCTTTATTTACTTTTATAATATAGCATTTGTAAATTCTGAAGGCTGATTGGCTAACAGCCATGTTGATATAACTCAACGTCAACACAGAAAAGTTGGAAAATTTCTTTCTTTGTATTTCTGTGTGCTATATTATAGACACGCGTGGAACTGATTGGGAAAACTCGAAAAAGTGTGAAAACACTCCGCCCTTCGGGTTCGTGTTTCCACAAAATTTCTTGTTTTCCCTATTCCACTCATGTTGATATAACTGTATATCAGCATGGAAAATGTTTTATATTTGTTAAATAATTTATGTATAAACTTAATAGATGATGAAAAGTTCTGTGATGATCATGATGTTGGCACAATCAGTACAACCCATGATGACAGTGAAGACAGTGACGATGATGCCGGGGACGATGACAGTAAAAATGACAGCAATGATGGTGATTTGTTGGAGCCATCTTCTCAAACAGAGACAGAAGAAGAACCAATGATGGTGGACAAAACAGTTTCAAGTGATACAGAGCCAGAGGATGAAAATGTGACATATGGTAAAAGGTGTGCAAATTACACTTGCTCATTTTATGTTTCCCAGGGGTGGGTCATTTGAAAACCAACCTCAACCTAGTGGTGAGGCATTTGAAATCAATTAGGCAGAAAAATACCATGGTTTCCTACTATATGTTACAAAAACCTAGGAAGAGTAGGTCAGTTTTGAATTTTTTAATTTCATTTTTATGAATTTTATACATCTATCACAAACCAGTGAGCTCTAAACACCAGGAATCCTGGTATTATTTTTTGGCCTTATAAAATTAATCCAAATCAGTTTTTGTATTGATCTCACTTCAAGTGTTTGCAAATGGGGGATATGCCTCGGACATCAGTCCCACTTCGGGGAACTTTCCACTTTTTTACCAATCTTGGAATTAACCCATTGAGTCGCATTGCGCCCTGATGCACCCTACTTTATTATTTTACTCTGTCTAACGCCAGGCGATTTTACTCATCAAGGGGAGAGCGCTGGTGCTTAATGGGTTAACTGGCCTATCTGCCCATTTGTCTATTTAACCCATTGAGTCGCATTGCGCCATGATGCACCCTACTTTATTATTTTACTCTTTCTAATGCCAGACGATTTTACTCGTCAAGGTGAGAGTGCTGGCGATTAATAGGTTAACAAGATTTATTTAAAATGTCAGAAGCCCTGGGGGTGGGCACTTTTTGGATGCATAATATTATTATGATGATATCATTCCAACTCTTCATCATCCTCAAAACATTTGAAGTCTTTTCCACCAAAAGCTTGTCTTATGGCATGATAGCCACATGCTGGTAAAGGTATTCTTCTCTTTCCCAAGTTTCCATAAACCAATTGTATATACTCTCTATAGGCAACACTTCGGAAATACCTATAATATAAGAAACTTTTCATGTAATATTTGTAATAGTTTTATATAAATGAAATTTTCTGATTGATAACAAATTGTGGGGATTTATCAGGATTAAAAATGGCTATATTATATATATATATATATATATATATATATATATATATATATATATATATATATATATTATTACATATATGTGTCTTGTCTGTTTTCATCACCTTCCACGTTATACTTCCTGCCATCTATTTTTCGAAATTTACGCCCTCCAGACGCAATGACCAGGGTGATAAACAGACCGAACCAAAGCCTGGATGAAGCGTTATGCAATTTGGCTCAGCACCTACTTCTTGTAAAACAAGTTCTGTCCCTAACGCTTCTAAGCAGCCTTCGATTTCTTGGCAGCATTGAGCCTCTCTCATTTACCAGTAAATCGACTTTACATAGTTCGCATGTACACCTGAAATAAAAAGAAACACCATATAATATTCATTGTGATTTCTCAAACGAAAAAGGAAAATATTTTTACATGAGTGTCAACACTAGCCTGCGTATACGCCGTAGCGTCTACACAGAATGTAAACACGAGCTCTGTCTCTGAGCTCACATATAGTGTATACATTTCACCTACCAATTTGATACGGGGACGGTTCCGTTCAAGCGAGACATAAGCAGCTGTCTTCTCTCTTCTTCGGCACGTCTCTCTTCGTTGTATTGAGCTATCCAAGCTGGATCAGCAATCGGTTCGCCTTGGTAAGGTTGTAAGCCACTGGTCTTCATCGCTTTGTGTTGAGCTGTCTGGGAGGCTGAACTGCGTTATCTTCGATTTCCATTATATAATTTGGTATTTTTAATTCATATCCGAATCAAGTTGGCTGTCCGTATTGTCGGAAAAACTTGACGACATTGTTAAACGAAACGTTGACCCAAAATGTTATTAAACGGAAAAAATCGGACGATATTTTGGACTAAAATTCTATACTGTTTTATTGTTATGATACTTTGCAAGATTAGCGTGTTCTCATTCTTACGTCACTTCCGGCGGGTTAACGCCGATTAGTTACCAGTACTTTCAAGGTCGCGGTAATTCGAAAAATCACCAACTTTGAGGCCCAAAACGTCCATGAAGATCAAATTTTCGTCTTGTCGAATATATTGCAAATGTTCTTAAAATCGTCTAAACTATCAGGAAAAGTGATTTCCCTGACCCTGATATAGGCACTTTAATAAGCCTTGGCTTCTAGTTGCACTACCTCGTCACAATTTTTCATTTCTTGTCTCTTCTATCTTATTACTTTTGTAAATTGTTGTATTAACCAATTGTGGCAAATTAATAAAATCAAAAATCAAATCATGCGAGTGCCAATCAATCACAAAAAGCTTTATAATAATTATTACACGTATAATCGTCCGACATATCCCCCAAACGTCAGATGCTTTGCTACGTCTCTGATGGTTGTGTTCGAAACCGATTTCAGTTTTAAGATATCCTTAGTCTGCTCTTCTCAATGGATACATGAAATCACTTATAGCTTATTTTAAATTTTTTGGCGCCAGGTTTGTGAAGTAATTTACCCGCCAAAAAGTTGCAGTTCCAAAAACAAAAAAAGCATACGATTTGTAAGAATGATATGTTCTGTGTTTATGGAATATTTAGTACAAACGGGATGAAAATTAAAAAAATTGAAGCATACTGGCACTTTTGCATACATTTTTGACATGCATGCAAAGACATTTGCAACAGATGCCAGGAGATATATATGTTGGGTGGGGGCGACATTCTCTAAGGTTCCAGCACATTATCCTGATCCAGGGAATCCTGGCCACTACATGAACGTGTTCAAGACTCCGACTACGCTGAATGACGGACAACAACAACCGACCAGACCGCGTAGCTCAGTTGGCAGAGCATTGGGCTATAAGTATTTCAAAGGTCGTAGGTTCGATTCCCACTGTGGTCAGGCATATTTTTCAAGCTTGCCCGGTGTGGATATACACTCAGACTAACATCACAAGCAACAACAATCTGTTGATAATTTCGCCCTTGGAGCCAATCTAAAATGTTTTTTTTAAGACGGTGGCATTCCATCTGGCGCTAGTATGGTAAAAGAAGCAGCGCTAGCAGGTCGATATTTTTGTTAAGGAGAAGCAAATGCAGGGACGCCGGAACGATGTGAAGGCAAGGGGGGCAGATTTTCGTGAAAAGGCACTTTTGAATTGATATATACTAAGAGATGTTTACAAAACATTGGGAGTTGAACTTCGCCTATAATCATGTATTTATTGGATGATAGGGATACGAGGGGGTTCTCCGCCAGGCAATTATGCTATTCTTGAACCTCGATGACTGCATTTCTTGCATTTTCTGAAGCAAATTCGTAAAAAAATTGCACTAACATTTCTGACAATTCGCTATTTCGCCAAGGCAATCCTTTAAATTGAAAGGGCAGCTTTGCCCCCCTTGCCCCTCTTGGTAAAGGGCAACGGGGGCGGCTGCATGCCTCTCCGTCCCCAGTTCCGGCGTCCCTGAGCACATGTTTGAGCATATCAGACATCTTGAGGAACTGCAAATTGAATCTATGATAAGAGAGAATTCTGGATTGTACTCCTTTCGATTCCGAATTCTGGAGGGGGGGGGGCATTGAAAATTTTATAAAACTTGGAGGGGGGCATCGAAATTTTACAATAACCTCAACAGGGGCCCTGTAAAAATATGAGCTTTTTTCAAGACATCTTCATCCCCCCTTTCGGCGTAACTGATAAATGTACTTTCCCTAAATCGCTACAATGTTGACATTGACAAAAACTATCGTTAGGAATAGGAAAAATGGAAAAACGTTATTTAAACAGGGTTGTCCTTAGGAGATATTAGAGATATTAAATTAAGATTAGGAGATATTAAAGATATTAAGATCGACGTTTATACGGCAGGCTGCCAACCGCAAACGGCAAACTACAAATCGTACAATTGGCCTTACAAATTAAGTTAGGGTCATTTGTATGTGCATTAATTTTGAGACATGAATTACCTACAGTTAATGTAGGACTTACTTTCAAATGCGATTTGAGGTTAGCCCTTTGTGGTTAGCGCGATGTGACGTAAACGTCGATCTTAATTAACTCTCCGTGCGAGTCACAATACTTCACAATACTGCACGTATAACCACTAGTATAATTACAAGCTTGCGGGGGAGTCCAGACACCTGTCTGCACAGAACTTTAAACTTCTTGCCGCTCTCTTTCTGAACAAAGAAAATTAAAAACAAATACTTTTGTCTTTTATGAAAAAAATATTTAAGATTTTATTATGTAAGAAATTTTAGTTATAGCCTATAGGAGCTAAGAAACTTTAGTTATCTACTATCATTTATAAGATCTTCTCCTTATTGGTTCAGTAAGGACCATCCTTCATTAGTATATAAACCTATACTATATATAGTAGGCTATCATGTATCGTGCCGTGCGTTCTGATTGGCTACGCTATTAGTATAGGCTATATCAGTGATATAGCCTACTTGTTGCAACAAGCGGCGAAGGGCGCGAGAGTCAATAGCCGTTTTTAAGTATTAAAAGTTGCATGCATTTAAAGGAAAAAAGCTTATGAACCTGGTTCATCTTTACGATCGGCAGAAAGCACTACGTGGGTCTGGAAGGAAACGCCAACACGAGGAAGGCTACAAAAAGGCGCGGAGCACGATTTGGAAGACAATTCCCTTACACACAATAACACAAGGTCAAAGACGTCTACAACTTGAATTTGGCTGAATTTCTTTTACAGTACGCGAGAACATACCACAGGATTTTAGATTACAGTAGAAATTGTCAGAACTACTTAATAGTACTTTGAAAAAATAGTACATAATTTTTAATACTTACTCTGAAAGCAGTAAACATTTATGAAATTGGTTTATTTGTACATTTTGAATAATAAGTTTTAGTATAAACCACGGAACTATATAACATGGAAGTCTGACTCGAGCTCAAAAAGTGAAGCCAACATGGCGGAATTTGAAGGCATTCTTGCGCGTCATTCTCAGTCCCCTTACGTGCGCGGTCAACAAAACTTTTATATTTTTCTTTACTTTCCGAGTAAAAATCTGGTGAAAAACAGACGAAATTTGAATGAAAAGTTGAATTCTGGTATTTTGTTTGGGTTCGGTTATAAATTTTAATTATTATTTGTTTAGGAGATGTGATATTTGAGTGGAAAGAAAGCAAAATAGCGCGGGATTGCTGTTTTTGTAAAATGACAAGGAGTGACAAAACAAAACACAAAGTCACTCAATCTTTCAAAATATCTCTATTGCCGCTATCGACAAGAGTTTCACACACATGAATAACTCATTAAAATGAACAGTTTAAGTTTATAAGGCAAACATCATAGTGATTTTATTAAATGGGAAATAAAAAAACAAAATTTTCTAACATGTATGGAATTAAATTGGCTAAAAAGTCTAAAAACTGCCTCGAAAACTGCAGTTAAAAAGCAGTTTTAGGTCAGGAAAACCGACTAAAATAAGCTAAATAATGGTGTGAAAACTGAAAAGCACCATAGAAACAAGAAAACGAAACAACCAAAGTTGCCAATTTATAAAAATACAGATTTTATATAAAAAAAAAAAGTTTGAAATTAGTTGTTGAATTCGCAACGAAAAATACAGATTTACTCACACATACAGTGGGAAAATGCAGTAGACAGATCGAGTAGATGAAGGAAATCAGGTTTACATAAAATAAATGAAGTTTATTTCATTTTTTGCTTTTTTAAAATGAAGAAAAACATAACCCGAGAATCGCGGACCCATCACTTCCCGCCATGACAATACAAAAAATGTTTGGCCGCGCGGGTAGGGGACTGAGAATGACGCGCAAGAATGGCTTCAAAATCCGCCATCTTTGGCTTCACTTTTTGATTACGTCAATGACTGAAGTCAGCCTTCCATGCATATAGTTCACTGGTATAAACCTACTAATAGGCTATCATGTATCGTGCGTTCTGATTGGCTACGCTACTAGTAGGTTATTAGTGATAGCTTACTAGTAGCAACAAGCGGCGAAGGGCGCGAGATTCAATGGCCGTTTTTAAGTCTTAAAAGCTGCACTTAAAGGAAAAAAGATTATCAAAATGGCCTAATTTTGGTTGTGGATTACAGACAAACAAAGACTCTTGGAAACTGCTGACACATGCGGTAAAATTTTTAAGTTTTCTCAACTTTGCTTGTTGTTTTGAGCATGAAAGTGACAGACGATTTTTTAAAATATATGCACGTAATTATTGTTTGTTAATATTCCAAGCAGAATCGTTGAAATTCAGCAATATTTTGTAGCTATTTACCCCTATTTTCTCAACCTCTTTAGTGCGTGCTTGTTTTAAGCACGAGTTCATGTATTTAGCTGTCATTTTAAATAGTTTTTTCGTTTAAATGTTGAGATTTTGGCCGAGTTTGTTTTTCGCCTTTTCGAGCCTTTTTAAGTCGAGTTTTTCGATTAAATTTTAATCTAAACTATTGTCTATGTATACTAGATTATGGAAATGGTTTGCCTCTTTATGTTCCAGATATTTTAAAGATTTCAATGACATTCGGATAATCGGATTCTTTTGCATGTATGTGCATTTTTATTCGGCTTTTAACGTAAACTTTATTTACTAATTTAGTAACAATTCGGGAAGCCATTTGTGTTCGAAATTAATCAAACTTTGCTTCTATAACGGTCTCTTACTATTATACTGTTTTACGACATGTTTTTTAACTTTTTTAAAACTCACAAGCTGTATTTTTTATGTCATTCCTGAGAGTTCGCAACACTCAGTAGTTGTCAACAAAGCCGAGGCGAAATGTTGCCAAAGGAAGCCATTTAAACGCTCATTTCGTTAAAACGTTATAATTTTAAATAAAAATCAAAGTGAAAAATTTCGTTTTCTTTATGTATATTTTATACTAAAACAATTAGACAACTCAGCCTCGTTGTCTCTGAACGAATAGTCAACTCGGCTTCGCCTCGTTGACTATTCGCTCATAGACAACTCGGCTTCGTTGTCTAATTGTTAAGTATTTCTGGAATGATCTCTCTTGAAGATGACTACAATTTACAGTCAAAACATACAAATAAACAATTTTGATTTTTGAGGATGTTTAATGTTTTCAGAATGATTATTCATTAATGTGCTGTATATAATTATATGGATTTCTGTCAAAGAAACTAT